CCCCCCCACCCCCTCCGGCCACGATGTCGCGATCCAGCTCCCGCATCGACGAGGTCGCCTTCCTCGACCGCATCACCAAGCTCGCGGACACCTGGCGGGTACCGTTCCCTCACGATCTTGCCCTTTTTTTTTCCCCGCTTGAATTGCCGCCCCGCGCCGCCCCGATCAGGATGTCCAGCGCCCATTTTTCCGTCCAATTTCTAATCCCCGCCCCCTCCCGCGCCCGCCCCCGCGCAGAGCCACCCGGAGCTCTTCAACCACGCTTCGCAGTTGGTGGTCATTGTCGGCAAGAATGACTCCAACAATGACAACGACCTGGACGGCTTCGAGACCGGTCTCGGCGGTGACTCTGGCGAGAAGATGCAGCTGACTCAGCGCGCCTCGGCCATGCACGTGCGTCGCTCTTCCTCTCTCTCTCTCTCTCGCCTCTCGCCGCGAATCGGCCCTCTGTCTCGCATGCTCCCCTCTGACTGCCTTCTCGTGGTGCGCCAACAGCACTGGCTCTTCGGCTATGAGGTCCTCAACACGCTGCTCATTTTCTCCCTCACCAATGAGGAGGAGTCCCACACTTCGGTCGGCCTCAATCTGGAGATCGTCTGCAGCAACCGCCTCGGTACGCGCATACCACCCCCCCCCCCTCCCCCCTCTTCTCCCTTTCTCCGTCCCCCTCTCCCCTCCCTCTCTTGGCCCCCCTTTGGCCCAGCTCACCCGGTGGATCGGATCCCTCCTCTCCTTCTCGTCCTCCTTTCAGCCGCCTTCTTCAATGGCATCCCCCCCGATGTTGCCAGCCGGTGCAATCTCGTTGTGCGCGGCTTCGACACCACTCAGTCGCCGCTGGACCAGCTGTCCGAGGCGGCCAGCGCCCTCTTCGAGCGCGTCTCCACCGTGGCCGAGGTGCGTGTGCCTGTCGCCATCTCACCCCGGCTCTCCTGTCGGGTCGCCTGCCCGGCCTTTTCCCGATCGGCCTTTCTCCCTCCCCCGCCGATGTTTGCCCTGCTGACTGGGTCCCTCCCTTGCAGATTGCCGTCCTCCCGAGCGGCCGTTCGGAGAGCAACTTCTCCGCCGCCTGGAAGGAGGCGCTCACCACGGCCGGCAACGCGCGCAACCTCAAGTTCAGCCTGAACACCGCGCCCACCTTCGCCGATGGCCTGGCCGAGGCCATGATCCCCAAGGACAACACCGAGATGGACAACATCCGCTCTGCCGCCACCGTGGCCGGGGCCTCCATGCGTGCGGTGGTCTTCCGGCGCCTCTACTCCTATGCGGATCGCGGCCGCGCGGTCACCCACGAGGCTTTCGGGGCCAGCCTTGATCAGTTCCTCGAGGAGCCCACGGAGAATCTCCTGGAGGAGCTTCGCGTTGAGAGCACTGTGCGTCTTTCCTCGGCCCTGTGCTCCTGCCCTTCCTTCCCCATCCCCCTGCGGTCTTTTCTTCCGGGCTCAGCTGCTGGTGGTCCCCCCGCCCTTCTTTTCTTTGTTTCCTTACACAGATGCTTCCCCCTCGCCCACCCTCCTTTGATTGACTCTCCCGCCGGCGCTTCCCACCACAGATTGATGCGGACTTCCTCGAGCTCGGCCACATGACCACCGTCCTGTCTGGCCCTTCGACTGCCCGGCAATCGACCCTTGTCAAGGGCTGGCCTGGTCCTCCGGGCCTGGAACCGACCCAGCGCCTGCGCGACACGGCCGGTTCCTGTGTGTCGGTGGCCCTGACCATGCGCTACCGAAACTACTGTGCCCCGGTGGCGCGTACCTTCCTCTTCAGCCCTTCTCAGGTGTGTTCGGCGAACTTGCTGCCCCCCCCCCCGCCTCTTCTTCGATCGCGTGTCCGGCCTTACACTGGCAATTCCCCCTCGCCCCCCCCCCACCTCGGAACAGGACCAATCCGATGACTATGAGGCTCTGCTGGCCCTGCGCCGTCATCTGCTGGTCAATCTCCTGACGCCGGGGGCCAAGCTGGCACACATCTACCGCGCGGCCAAGAACTTTGTCGAGGCTCGCCGGCCGGGGCGTTCGCAGTACCTTTCCCCGGTGCTGGGGTTCATGACGGGGCTACGCTTCCGCGAGTCGGAGTTCACCATTTCCGAGAGCACCCCCGACCATGTTACCCTCCAGGCCTCAGCCAATCTCTGCCTTTCGCTGAGCTTCGTGGATGTTCCCTTCGCTTCGGCGGACAGCCGGTGGTACCTTGCCCGCTTCTTGCCCAGTCTTTCTGCGCGCCCCCGGTCGTCTGCCTGGACTTCCTCGCCCCCCCTCCCCCCCCCCCCTTTCTCTCACCTCCCCCTTCCCCCCTCCTGTCACAGCTACTCCCTCTACCTGGTGGACACGGTGGCCATCTTCCGGAAGCCTGTGCAGCCGGCTTCGCCGCTGGCGGCGGCCATCCTGGCGCCTCTGCACTCGGACGGCCCGGACGCCGCGGCACCGATGGCCTTGCATGCACATGTCTTGACCTTCCGCGCCCCATGGCGCCTGCGTGACATCATCCTGCATGTGGTCGATGAGCAGGGCGGCTCCGGGGCTGGGGCCGGCTCCAAGCCCGAATCCGAGGACGAGGGCCCGCGCACGCGTGCCGGCGCCGCCGGGCGTCGGTCCATCCTGATGGAGGACCGCCTCCGGAGTTCCGAGGGGGTGCGCCTGCTTGGTCCTTCGCGGCCCACTCTTGGCACCTCTGCCGCCGCCGCCGCCGCCGCCGCCGGCCCCTTTCTCGCGTTGCTCCTTTCTTCCCAATGGCTCGGCCTTTTCGAGCCGCTCGCACCCCCTCGCCCAGTACCTGACCCTGACTGCCGTCCATTCAGATGTCTCGCGAGGAGCAGCGCCAGCTCGTCCAGAAGGAGCTCTTCAACCGCATGCAGGAGCAGGGTAAAATCCGCCAGGAGGCCGCCCACTCGAAGGACGGCTACTCGGAGGGCGGTAACTCGGCCACCGAGCTCCGCAAGTACGAGGCCTACCGCGACGAGTCGCAGATCCCGCCCGATCGCCAGTACCGGCGGATTTTCATCGACCGTCGGGCCGACGCTGTGGTCCTGCCGATCTTCGGCTTGGCGGTCCCCTTCCACCTGTCCACCATCCGGTCGACCACCCTTTCAGCGGCCGCCGAGTCTGGCTTCCTCCAGCTGCGCATCAACTTTGCCACGCCCGGGCAGACCGTCAGCAAGCGCGAGGTCATGGTGCGCACCGGGTGACCGTCCACTCTGCCCTCCTTCTCCCTGTTGCTGATGTCCTCCTCCGGTGTCTCTCTCTCTCTCTCTCTCTCTCTCGCTCTCCCTCTCCCTCCTGCCATCTTGCCTTGCTGACTCGCCCGCCTTGCACCTGTGCTCGCCCTGCCAACCACCAGACGTACATGCCGCCAAACCAGACCTACATCCGGGAGCTGACCTTCCGTGCGCCCGAGCCGGCAGACAATCTGCGCCACATCAGCGATGATATCAAGAATGCGCGCCGGGCCTTTGTTGAGCGGTGCGTCGTCCCCCATCTCTGCCGGCTGTGCCACCCCGCCATCCTGTTCCACACTCCCTCAAAGCTGACCATCTCCCTTGTTACTCTGCCTGCCAGTGAGATCGAAAAGCGCGATCGCGAGCACCTCATTGATCAGGAGCAGCTGAAGCTCATTGGTGCGTTTGACGGTTTATTCTCTCTCTCTCTGTCTCTCTCTGTCTCTCTCTTTCTCGCTCTCTCTCTCCCTTTCTCTCCCTTTCTCTCCCTCTCTCTCCCTCTCTCTCTCCCTCTCTCTCCCTCTCCCTCTCTCTCCCTCTCTCTCCCTCTCCCTCTCTCTCCCTCTCTCTCCCTCTCCCTCTCTCTCCCTCTCTCTCCCTCTCCCTCTCTCTCCCTCTCCCTCCCTCTCCCTCTCTCTCCCTCTCTCTCTTCCTCCCCTCCTTGTTTGCCCTCTTCCCTGGTTGCCCCCATCAGCCCCACCACTGACTCCTCCCCCTCAGATGGCCGCGTTCCTGTGCTGGATGGCATCCGCATTCGCCCGAGCCTTGGGCCTGTCCGCGGTGGCGGCGGTGATGCCGGGTCCCTGCAGATCCATGCCAACGGCATCCGGTTCCGGTCTCGCGCCCAGGGCCATGTTGGTATGTGGTGCCCCGCCCGTCCCTCTTCTTGCCTGGACCCCCGCCCCGCCCCGCCCCGCCCCGCCCCACCCCCAAGCTCACGCTCTCTCTGTCCCTGTCCCTGTCTCTGTCTCTGTCTCTGTCTCTGTCTCTCTCTCTCTCTCTCTCTCTCTCTCCCCCTGTCTCGCCCCGTCTCTCCGGCTCGGACCACCCCCAGACATCACCTTCGCCAACATCAAGCACATGATCTTCCAGCCGTCCGAGGGCGAGCAGGTGGTGATCCTGCACTTCCACCTGCGCCATGCGATCATCATCGGCCGCAAGAAGACGGTCGACGTGCAGTTCTACTACGAGGTGGTCACCGTGAACTATGATGACGTGACGTCGGCCTCCTCTTCGCGGCGTCTTGGCGCTGGCGCCTCGGCTCAGAGCGAGGCCGAGCTCGAACGCATGGAGCGCCGTCAGCGCCTGATCAAGGACCGCGAGTTTGACAAGTTCGCCGATCGAATCTCCCGGCAGGTGCGCGCCTCGGTGTTTTTCCCCGTCCCCCCTCCGATGGGGACATCCCCTTTCTCCTGCTGACTTGTCTCCCCGCCTCGCTCGCCTTGTGGAATTGCGGCCACCCGGATGGCACGATGACAGAGCAACGGCGCGGTCAAGGTCGACACGCCCATTCGAAACCTGGCATTTTCGGGTGTCCCCTTCCGCGCGAATGTCCTCATGCAGCCGACCTCCTACACGCTGATGCACATCACCGAGGCGCCGTACTTCATTGTCACCCTGGAGGAGGTGGAGCTCGTCTATTTCGAGCGCATTACCGTGCGTGTGGGGGCCTGTGCCCTGTCGTGGCTGCCCATGCTCGGGCCTCCTGCTTGCCCTCCCATCTCCCCGGCATACTTACCTCGCTTCGCTCGCCTTGCGCGGTTCCCCGTGTGAGCAGTTTGGGCTCCGGAATTTCGACATGGTCTTCATCTTCAAGGACTATGCCCGGCCGCCGGTCCGCGTGTCGGTCATCCCGGTGCAGCAGCTGGAGGACATCCGCAACTGGCTGACGTGCGTGGCTGCCGGCCTCCGGGCCAGCCCCCCCCCCCCCACTTGTGCTTCAGCATGCTTGGCGTCCATGCCCCCTGCCACTGACCCCCCCCCCGTTGTACCCTTTCGTTGCGCTGTGCCCCCCACAGCACGTGTGAGATTCCTTTCCTCGATGGCCGCGTGAACCTCAACTGGAACCAGGTCATGCGCAACGTCCGCGAGCCTTACTTCTTCCAGGACGGCGGCTGGTCCATCTTGGTCGAGGGTTCCGTATGTGTCGTCTCCGTTCTTTTCTTCCTCTCTCTCTCCCTCCCCCTCCTTTGTTCGTCCCGCTGCCTGCGCGATCCTATCACTAACAGGAGCCCGATGTGTGTGGCTTGTCTCGTGCCTTGCCCCCCCCCCCCCCCACCACCACCAACACCACCACCACAGGACTCCGAGGAGGAGGAGGTTGACAGTGGCCCGGAGTTTATTCCCGTACGTTGGTTACCCCCTTTGCCTGGTTCTTGCCACCCCCGGGCGCCCGCTAATCCTCCCCACCATCCATGCCCCCTTCTTTGTACTCCTGCCCGCCAGTCCGATGCATCCTCTTCCGAGTCGGACTACAGCTCAGAGGACGACGCTTCCGAGGAGTCGGACTTTTCCGAAGAGGAGGACTCCGGTTCGGAGTCCGAGTACGACGACTCCGAGGAGGAGTCGGAATCTGACGACGACTGTGCGTGCAATCCCCCCCCCCCCC